GGCTGGTGTGCTGGGCAAGGCTGGCGGGTGTTGGCTTGCGGCGGGCGAGGCGGGGGTGTGCTGGGAGGGGCTGGTGTGCGGGGTCAGGCTGGCTGGCGGGTGTCATCTCTCACTTGGGTGAGCGGCCCGTCTTGCCGCCAGACAGGGTGGCCAGGGCTCCCGAGGCAACGATGTGGGTGGAGGGCTCGTGCTTGAGGGCGTGCTCGTACAGCTCGGGCACGCTGGAGGAAAGCAGGAAAAGAAAGGAAGTAGGACAAGGAAGTGAGGAGACAGAAGGCAGCTGGGGCTGGCTGGGCGCGATGCATGCAACCTCCGGAGGATCCCCACATCCTCGGCGCCCCTCTGCTGGCCCCCAGGCCCCCCCCCCCCCCCCCGCCCCCCCCCAGCGCCCTGCAGCACAGCGCACAGCACAGCGCACCCGCCGCGCGCCGCGCGCCGCAGTCCAGAACGCCTTACTTTCGGCTGCTGTTGTAGGATTTGGTGGTGTGCATCACCTCCCACACACCTGAGGTTATGGTAGACGGTGACCGGCTTGAGGCCGACATCATCCATCTCATGAAACATCTCCTTCAGAAGATCAGTCAGCTCGGTGGCGGCGCCTCCAGCGGCGGCGCCCCCGCCCGGCGCGCGGCTGACGTGGCGCGGCTCCCGACGCACCAACACCGGCGGGCCCGCCGCCGCGGCGGCAGACTTGAGGGTGGCAGACAGCGAGACGGCGGCGGCCGCGGGGTCTGCACAGGGGCACGGCAGGCGGTCAGGCGGGGCGGTGGCGGGGCGCCACAGGTGCGCAGGAAGACCGCGGCAGCGAGGCAGGGCGAGGCGGGCGTGCGGGGCGCGGTGAGCGGGGAGTGCTGCCGCTGCCAGGGCTGCCCCAGGTGCGCCTCCCACCTCGCTGCGTGGGGGGCGCTGCAGGCGAGGTGCCGTTGGTGCTCGGTGCAGGGGCCAGGCCTGCGCCCGGCGGGGCAGCCTTGCTGGCCTGCAAGCAGCGGGCGAGAGAAGAAGAAACCGAGGGAATGCTGCCGTGAGAGGCTGCCGTCGTTGTGGTGCCGCCACTGCCGTCGCCGAGCGCTGGCGCCGCTCCGCCGCCCAGCCAGCACCTTAACGCCCCCCGCGCTCACCACGTTGCGGCGCTGCCGCTCGCCTTCAGCCCTTGCCGAAACACGACCGGCGGACCTGAATCAGGGCCTCCGATGGGCTAGGGTTAGGCGGGCGGCGAGGTGGGCGGCGGCGGGCAATCAAACCCAAACGGGTCTCGCCAGAAAAGCAAAATGGCACAACCGGCAGCCGCAATTGCAGCGTGCTCGACTCAAAACGCACCGTGCCGCCGCCACTGGGTCTGCCCGCTTCTGCCCTGGACGAGTAAAGCAATCTGCAGGCGTGCGTGCATGCCTGCATGCCGGCAGCACCGCCGCAACGCTGCGGCAGGGAGGGCCTCTTATGCTAGGGACCGAGGCCAGCTCTTGAGCCATGAAAACGGAGGCTTCGATGTCTCTGCAATGCTAGCCCAGTGTGATGATGCCGCGGCGAGTGTGAGGAGTCGAGAAGTGGGGGCGCCGCCGCTGCTGTGCGTGCTGCCGCCACGTCAGAGCAGGTGGAGGTCCCTTGCTGGGAACCTCCAGAGGTGGGGCCAAGGTGCTGGCTGGGTGGTAGGTGCTGGGCAGTTCAGCCGCACTGCAGCACGGCTCACCGTCCCCACCACCCCCGCATTTGTGTTGCCTTCCCTGCGGGCCACCGCTCTGCTGCACCTGACCCCATGCATGCATGACACTCACCGAGCACCAGGTGACCACAATGGTGGGTGGGTGCTCGAAAGGCAGGCTGCTTGTTACAAACAGAACGCAGAGGGATGCGGTGGGGCATTCAACTGGTCATGAGAGGCAGCGCAGGACCGATCAGTTCAGATTCAAGGGGGGCAAAGCAGTCAAAAGTGCAGGGGGTGATGATGGGAGAGAACGAGAGAGCACTGCAGCAGCATGCAGGCAGGGAAGAAAGATGCTGCCGGGCTGCCGACAGTCTGCCGCAGTGTGCGGTTTATGCAGGGAAGGAGGTTAGGAAAGAAGAAGGCCAGGAGCAGAGCGATGCGCTAAGGGCGAATGTGCCCCCCAGGAATGGGCGTGCTAGCGAGGTGGGGAGGAGCTTGCTCCAGGCCGGCTCGCCCCGCCTGCGCCGCGCATCACAGGATACTGGAGAGGCCGCTGCTGAGGCTGTCGCGGTCCCGCGGCAGCGTGGGCACGGTGCGCAGCTGCAGCCAGGCGGGAGGGGAGAGCGCAGCGCCGCGGCGGCGGGTGAGGCGGGCGGGTGGGGGCAGGGCAGGGCATGCGGAGCTGCCGCTGCTGGCTCGGGATGGCGGGCACGATCGGATCCGTGGCTGCTGCTTCTTTCCGGGAGCAGAAGGGAGTCACCGTGGGGCTGTGTGCCAGTGCCAGGTCATATCCAAAGTGGGGGATGGGGTTGTAATAAGTGTCCATCTGCTCAGTCACATCCCAGTGCTCGCCTGCGGGTGCGGGTGCGGGGGCAGGCGCGGTGCGGTGCCATGAGGCTTGCTTTGTGTGTGTGTGTGTGTGTGTGGATCGCGCAGGCAGGTCTCGAAGCGAAGCAAAGCACACGCAGTGAACTCTTTCCAGCCAGCCACCCCCCTTCACGCCACCCCCTCCGCGCACCCCCGCTGCTCGCCGCCCACCCCAACCGCACCCCAAGTGTGCCACCCCGCCCCAGCCCGCCGCCAGCCCGCCGCTCACCCGTGTTGCTGCTGCCGTGCTTCTGCACCAGGCGGTCGCCAAGGTGGTTCTCGCCCCACCACCGGTTGTACCGCTCGCCACCGGCAGACACGCTCCACGTCTCGCCCTGCTCCCAAGGGGGCGGCCACAGGGGCGGTGAGCACAGCATGCACAGGCATAGGGAGAGAGAGAGAGAGGTGGAAACACGGCACAGGCGCAGGAGCTCTCGGAAGATGCAGCCATCCACCTCCCCAGACCCCCATACTCGCACGGCACCTGCACGTTAGTGTGCCCACCGCTGTGGCCCGCCGCCGCGGCGCGCCGCCGTGTGCCGGCCCACCCGCAGCGGAGACGCCGAGCGCCAGCCCACCGCACAGCACTGCGTGGCGCCGCGCCAGCACTGCTTGGCAGCCCACGGCCGCACCTGCTTGGTGCCGCGCCCGTCTTTGAAATTTTCCTCCCACTTGTCCCCCCACTGCTCCCGCGCCCCGCCCTCCACCTCTCGCTCCGCCCACTTGTCGGTGTACTTGACGCAGCCGCCTGCGGGAGGGAGGGGCGCGGGGTGGCAGCGGCTGCTGGGGTGGCAGCGGCTGTTGGGGTGGCTGCGGTTGGTGGGAGGGCCGCTGGCGCCGCGGCCGGAGCGCGCGCCAGCCCGGCGGCCGCCGCCCAGGCTTGCCTGGGGCGCATGCAGGCCGCCCGCGCTGGCGGCAGCAGGCACGAGGGGCCGGCGGCATGTTGCCACCACGCCCAAGCAGCACACTGCCCAGCCAGACCAACACAGCCAGGCAGTTAAGGGCGAGGGCGCACCGCTGCCGTCGTAGTTTTCGCCCCACTTCTCGTGCCACACGTCAGCCCCTTCCCGCGCCCACTTGTCCGCCCACTTGTCCGCCCGTCCCGCAGACCAGTACCGCTCCCCCCACTTCTCCTCCCACTCGTGGCCCTGCAGGCGGGACGGCGAAACAGGCAGGCAGGCGGGCAGGCGGGGCGCGACGCGGCTGAGCTGCGAGCAAAGACGAACCGGCGGGGTGAGCCGCGGGCCGGCACCACGCAAGGCAAGAGGTGCCTGCCGCAGGCCCCGCACTGGCCCTCCTCTGGCCAACAGAGGACAGCTGGCTGATGCCAGTGCCACCTCAGCGCCAGCGCCACCTCAGCACCAGTGCCACCTCAGCGCGTGCCACCTCAGCATGCCACCTCAGCGCACCATGCCGTTCTTGGCCCACTTGTGCGCCGACCGTTCCACCGACGGCTGCGTGCTGCCCGCCTCCACCACTATCGCCTCGCGCCACGTCTCGCGCCAGGCATCGCCTGAGGGCGGAGAAGGGGTAGGGGGCAAGGCCCAGCGCAGGCAGGCGCACGGTCAGGCAGGCAGGCAGGCAGGCAGGCAGGCAGGCTGCCGCACGCGTATAAAGCTGGGAAAGCTGCGACACGGGGAGGCTGGGCCGCCGGCTGCGCATGTGCCGCTGCAGGCCGGCGCCAGCCGCAGGCACCCCCGGCAAGGGCTCCCAGCAAGGCGGCGCGGCAGGCGGCCGCCTCACCCCGCGCATTGCAGCCCCACTTCTCGGCGCCGAGCTCCTTCATGCCCCGCCAGTCGCTGACCTCCCACCACTTCTCATACCACTGCGGCAGCACGGTCAGCGGTACGGTCGGGCGGCAGCAGCATTACGGTCAGCGGTACGGTCGGCCTCTGGCGCCACACGCTGCCACCTGCCGCTGTGGTGCCCTCAGCGCCTGAATGGCCAGGCCTGAAACCCCGTTCCCTCCCAATAAGGCCAAGCTACCAATCACGCGTCCCGAATCCTCCCTTCTTCTTCTGCTTTCTTGTGGCTGGGCCCCGCTGCCGCCTCGCCTGTACCGCCGCCTGGCACCCACCTGTACCGCCCCCGTCTCGTCGCAGCCCCGCACTTCGGTCCAGCGGTACCAGTAACCGTGAGACCCAGTCTCCTCCCCGGAGCGCCGCTCCCAGTTGCCTGCGGCGGCAGCGGCAGGGATGTATGGGTGCGCGCGTGTTGGCGTGCGTGCGGTGGTGTGCGTGCGGTGGCGTGTGCTGTGTGGGTGGCAAGCGAGCGGAGGGGCCCACGGTGGTTGCAGCGCGCTTGGCGAGGACAGGCGCCAGCGGCCAGATGCGCCCGCCAGCGCCTCGCCGAGCCACACGCAAACAGCAGCTGGCAAGCCAGCCGCCAGCCAGCCAGCCGCCAGCGCACCCGGGCGGCCCCACCCCGTGGCGCGCACCCACCTCCGGGCACCGCCGCCGGCACCTCGGCCTCCGCCTCTGCCGCCTCTGCCTGCGCGGGGGCGGCCACAGCCTCCGCCTCCTGCGGCTGGAAGTGCAGCTGCATGTCGGCTGGAAAGATGGAGGGCCCCGCAGACTCAGGCGCCTCTGGCGGAGCAAACTCAAGGGTGGTGGGCCCTGCCGGGCGCTCCAACACCGCCACCTGCGTCGGCGCAGGGGGTGCCGGCGGGATTGTTTAGGGTTTGTTTCAGGAGGGAGGCAGGGAGGGAGGAGGGTGGTTGGCGGGCGGGGCAGGGGGACAGGGCGCAAGGGGGAGGCTGCGCCCCAAGCCCCACCTTGCCGCCGCAAGCCCAGCCAGCCAGCACGCACGCACGCAAGGCACTCGAGGCTGCGGCGGCATCCCCTGGGCAGCAGCGGCGGCGGCGGCAGTGCACCCCCGTCCCTCCTCCCTCCGCCGCGCCTGTGCCACCTGCTGCCCCATGGGCTGCATGGTGCGCCGCAGCTGCACCGGCCCCGTGTCAACCTTGTCGCCAAACCACGAGTCCAGCCCTGCCTGGCTCCAAGACTGCTCGCCGCTGCCGCCGCCGCCGCCCGGTGCGCCGCCGCCGGCGGGCGGCTGTGCGTAGTCCCGGCTGCTGCTGTAGGTGTCGGCCCCGCCTCCCTCCAGGTCATCGTCGTCAAGATCCGACTCCCAGACAAAGGCGGTGAGGCCGCGGCTGGCGGCGGCGGGCGGGCCGTCCCGGGTCGCGCCAGCGTCGGCGCTCGACGCGGCGCCCGTGGTGGCGGCGCGGATGGCGGCGCCGTGCTGGCGGTGGCGCGAGTCTGCGGGGTCCCGCTGCCGCACAGATTCCAGCGCGGTACGGGCAGCTTCCAGGAGGGAGGCCTGCACACGCACAGGAGTCGGGTGGGCGGGCGGGGCGCTTCGTCAGCCGCTTGGGAGGAGCGTGGCGGGGAGGCGACGGCGGCAGCGCGTGGGGGAGTGGGCAGCAGCAGCAGCAGCAGCAAGCAGCATTCAGGAGCAGGCCAGGCCAGGCAAGGCCAGGCCTGCACAAAGGAGGGTCCACCCGGGCGGCAGCCTCACTGCTCGGTCCACCAGCGCGGTTGCCTTCTCGCCGCCTATCTGCTCCGAGCTCGGTGCCGGCGGCGCCGCAGCATCGCTGCCGGGCTGCACGTGCACAGCGAGGCGCAGGGGATGATGGGGAGTGTGGGGGCGTGGCGGCGAGGCAAGAGAAAGTGTGGCAGCCCGGTGCGCCAGCTAGCCGGCAGGCATGGCAGGCGCCTGGCGGCGGATGCCTGAGCTCTCCCCTCACCTCTTCGAATTTCAGAAAGTCTGCAAATTTGCGGCCTCCCTCGGTGCCGGTCGCCGCAACCCGGGCGCCCTGCCGGCTGGGGGCGCCTGCCAGCGAAGCGCGCCGTGCCGTGCCCGTGCCGCCGCGGCAGCGACGGCCGACGGCGGCGGCGGCGGGTGCACCGCTGCCTAACGCAGCGCACGACATTATCTCCCTTTTCCGGCTGCTGGCCCTGGTGAGGGCTGTAGGCGTGAAACGAAACGAGGGGCGCTGAAGGTTGCAGGCAGAGTGCGCTTTCAGAGGACGCCTGGGAGGGCTGCTGGCGCCGAGAAGGATCACGCCAGGGAGCTGGGTGCTGCCAGCAGGCGGCGCTGTCCACTGCACGGCGACCACAAGCACAGTTGTGTCGAGAGAGAACAGTTTGGGCGCAACCGGTTGTATAATGCACAACTCAGGCTCGCAATGAAGATTTATTGATGCGCCGCTCCGTACATTTCCCCTGGGCCCTAGGTGGCGGTGGCTCTGAGGTGGCGGTGACCGCTGCTGTGCTGATCGCGTCTCTGGATGCTGCACCCCGGGGAGCATAAATGAAACTGCATGCTAGCAAGCTAATTTGATTGGTTGCATAGCTGTGCGATGATGCACAAACTCGAAGGTGAGAAGATGGTAAAGCAGTCGTGGGTTCCATCATCCCAGTTGAGGGAGAAGCAAGGGGCGACAAAAAACTGCAGCCCTTGCAGGTCATGTCCAGTGCTCTCCAGGAAGCACCATGAGTGTCGGATGCAGATGCAGCAGCAAACAGGTCTAGCTCCAGAGCGGCGGATCCGCCAGCTTCAGCTGCGGCAGCTGCGGCAGGGCGGGGACCGACTCCCCCTCCACCGACGCCACTCGCATTCCTGTTTGCCACCGCAGTCTCAGAACTCAGCACCACCACTTGCTTCCATGCATGACCCTATCGGCGCTGTTCGCCGAAAGCCCAGGGGCCCCTGTCGTGCTGCCACACAGCTCAGCACGGACCATTTTTTGCGAGCGCCATGCGCGGCCAGCCTTGCGGCAATAGCATTCATTTAAATGGTTTGATGATCGCTGTAGCGTGTGCGGAGACGCCAACTTCTCGGGTCGCCCTCGCGCCCCTCTCTGCGCTGTGCGCCTAGTCCACACCGTCCCTCCTTTTTTGTGTGTGGTGAACCACCCACAGCCCAATCTCGTTCAACCGCTTCGAGCTGGGTAGCGGCAGACGCCCCGTTTTGCTGTGCGCTGAGGGCGCAGCGGCCGTCGGCAAGGCTATGAGGAGCGCTCCATAGCTTGCTGTCTCGCCAATCTCGTTGTGGTGTCCCAGACTCCGCGTTGAAGGCGATGTCCGGGCGAGCAGGAGCTGCCAGCGGAGCCGACCATTCCCTCCGTCCTCGCTCTTGCCTGCTGGCGCTGCTCCTGTGCTTGGCCCTCTGCGCGGGGCAGGTGCGGCAGGCGGCGGCAGCAGTGCCCTCGCGATGTGGCGGCGGCGGGCGCCGCCTCTTGCAGGCACCAGGTGCGTGCCCGCCCAGACCCGCAAACTTCCCTTGCGTGCAGCCTGCCTTGCATCCCTTGCTGCAGCAGGGTCGCAGGAATCGTAGTGGGAGGCAGCCTGGTGTCTGGTGCCAGGCCTGCTGCCTGCACCGCACCACCCGCCACCGCTGCGCCCGCTGTGCTGTGCTCCTCACGTGCAGCAAATGGCAGCACCAGCAACCCCAGCAACCAGATCATTGAGATGGTGGAGGTGGATGTAGTGAGCCAGGCAAGCTGCACGGGACGGCGGTGCTGGGTGCTGCCGCCCGAGCGTTATTTTTGCCCACCGCGTTTGTGGGTGCTGCCGCGCTCTTCCTTCCTTCTCGTCTGCCGCCGGGCCCGAGCAAGCGCCTGCTCCCCACGCCGCCGCTCACCGGCCTCCCCGCTCGCCCGCCCCGCCCGCAGGAGTGCGTGATGATTCCCAACTCCTATTACGAGGTGCTGCCGCGGGAGGGCGTGGAGGAGGTGGCGGCGCCGTGGGCCAACATACAGGACTCGCCCCGCGCCTGCTGCGCCTCCTGCCACGACATGCCCGCCTGCAACGCCTTCCAGTGGTGCCCCCTGGAGGGCGGCTGCGCGGGGCCCAACGGCACGCAGTTCCCGTACCAGGGCTGCCAGCTCATCGACCTGTCCCGCTTCCTCAAAGGCTCAGTCAACACGGGCCAGCTCAAGCTGCAGGGGCCCGAGGTGCCCTTCACGGCAGGTGGGTGCTGGCCCGCCGTGCCTGCCCGGCCCACGCTTGCCCGGCTGCCTGCGACCTGCCTGCTGCCAGCCAGCCAGCGGGGTGCTGTGATGCGGAGCTGCCGGCCTCGCTGCCTTTCCTCCCGCCCACCTTTCCTCCCGCCCACCTGCTGTCCTCCCCCACAGGCTCGCCGCTGTTCTTCTCGGTGCCCAAGCTGTCTGGGTACGACGTGGAGATAGGCCGCAACTTTGGCGGCAAATTCAACTACTCCTGCCCCGCCTCGGAGGTGGAGGGCGCGTGCGTGCTGTTTGGCGGCGCAGAGGCAAGCGCCGCCCACGGCCCGCGCCTGCCGCGCTGCCCGGGGGGGCACCAGCCGCCGGCCATTTGCTGCCGCAGGCCCTGCAGCAGTGCTGTGGAGGCAGCAGCGGGCGCTGAGAATGGGGGCAATGCTTTGTATCACACTGTTAACAACGGAGGACCAGCAGCCTGCGCACAATAACCGTCACCTCGTCTCCCACCGCGCTCACGCCTCCCCGCGTCCCTGCAGGCGCTTAAGGAGGCGTGCGACGCCGACCCGCTGTGCCTGGCCTTTTCTTTCTACCCCTCAGGCAGCGGCACGTGGCTCACGGAGCTCTCCTTTGGCGTGCTCAAGGGCGGCGAGGAGGTGCAGCTGAGCAGCGCCGACACAGAGCTCAACCCCAATGCCGCCATCTACATCAAGCTGGAGCCCACCCAGGCCGGGGGCATGCCCGGCAGCATAGACGAGGGCGCGGCAGACTCGTCCGGCGGCGGCGGCGACAGCACCACGCTGATTGCGGCGGTGGTGGGCTCCGTGGCCGGGCTGCTGCTGGTGGCCGCCTGCGTGCTGCTGTTCTTCCTGCGCCGCCGCCGGAGCAAGGCCGCGGTGGCCGACGACCGCAAGCCGGGCGGCGGCGAGGGCGGCAGCGGCGCCGGCGGCGACGCCGAGCTGGCCACCGCCGGCAGCGGCAGCACGCCCGGGCACGACGGCGGCGACGGCGGCAGCCCGCTGGCCGGCGGCGGCGCCGACGGCGGCTCCAGCGACACGTCGCACGACGAGGCGCAGCTGCTGGAGGCGGCGGCGGCGGGGCTGGGCCCCAAACCCATGCGCCGCACCCTCAGCCCACCCTCCGTCGTGAACGCCTCGCTGCCGGGGGCCGGCGCCGGCGAGGCGGAACCCTTCTCGCCCTTCATGGTGCTGTCTGAGGTGGCGCCAGCTGGTGGCGGCGGCGGCGCGGAAGTCGCAGAGGTCGCCGCCGTCGGGTGGCGGCAGTCGATCAGCAGCGACAGCACCGCGGCCTGGCAGCACGACGGCGCGGCGCAGCAGGCGGGGCAGGAGGAGCTGCCCGTGGTGGTGGAGGTGCAGCGGGCGGTGGCGCTGGGCGGCGGCGGCGGCGGCGGCGGCGGCGGCGGCGGCTGCGGGGCGGGCGGCGAGGTGGGCGAGCGCGGCAGCATGCCCCCCAGCATGCGCATGGCAGGCAACGCGCGTGAGCTGCTGGAGGTTTTTGCCCGCATGTACAACCAGCGGCCTGCCGTGGACTATGCTGTGGTTGCTCAGATGCTGGATCAGGAGACAGACCTCGGGGCGGTGGCTGCGGCAGAGCGCGCGGACGAGGAGCGGCTGCGCAGCGTGGACCGCGCCGCGGCGCAGCACCGCTCCGCCTCCCGCTCCCTGCCCCCGGGCGCGCAGGCGGGCAGCCAGCAGCCCGAGGTGGTGGTGGTGGAGGTGGCCGGCGGCGCGCAGCAGCAGCAGCAGCAGCAGGCCCTGGCGGCGGCGGCGGCGGGATTAGCAGCAGCAGGGGCGCAGCAGCCAGCGGCAGGGGGCGCTGTAGCGGCCTGGCAGCAGGAGCAGAGCTTGCTGCCGGGCATGGTCAGCCCCCCTGCCAGCAGCAGCATGCTGCCGCCATCAGCAGAGTGGTCCCTACAGGTGGGTGCTTGGGGCATCATCATCATCATCATCATCAGTGCCAGGGTTGCGTTTTGGTGTTGAGGCACCACCGCCATCAGCAGCAAGGCAGCACGCGGCAGTGCCGCCTCCGGAGGCCTCCACCCCATGGTCTTCCCTGCTCCTGCTGCCCAGCCACCCTTCCTGCCCCCTCGGTGCCACCCACCACGGACTGGCCTGCACCGTGCCTTGCCTCCCCACCCGCCCCCGCCCGCACCGTGCCTTAGCTGCCTGACCGCCTGCGCCCGCCTGCCTCCGCCTGTGCCGTAGCCTGAGGAGGTTGAGATCTGCAAGCGGCCCGATGGCAGCTACTGGCAGCTGGGCACCGGCGCCTTTGGCACCTGCTACAAGGGCCTGTACCACGGGCAGCAGCTGGTGGCGGTCAAGGTGAACAGGCAGTACCGTGGGCAGCAGCCGCGCAGCCCCGCCGGCAGCCCGCTGCGCCCTCACGGCCCCGCCTGCCGTGCTCCCTCTGGCGCCGCATGGGCACGCCTCCCCCCTTTCCCTTGCACCCCTCCCCTGCCCGGCAATGCCAGCACCTGCTGTCGCGCCGCCGGCCGCTCCACTCACCCGCGCACCCGCTTACCCGCTCACCCAATCGCCCCACCCTTCGAACTCCACCGACCGCCCCGCAGGTGCTGCACCGCGGGAGGAGCGGCGGCGCGGGGA